CTTTCCCCCACAAAATGAGGTAGAGACATCTCCCCAAGATCCATTTTAGGCCAAGACTGGGAAGACAGTCAGCCACAGTTTTATTTTATTTTAATTTTTAAAAAAGATTTTATTTATTTATTTGAGAGAGAGAGAGCACAAGCAGTGGGGAGAGCAGAGGGAGAGGGAGAAGCAGGCTCCCCACTGAGCAGAGAGCCCGATGCGGGGCTCGATCCCAGGACCCCGGGATTATGACCTGAGCCCAAGGCAGACGCTTAACTGACTGAGCCACCTAGGCATCTCTCAACCACAATTTTAAATAGAAAAAACTCAGTTTCGTGAATGATGAACCCTTATTCTAAATGTGCCTCCATTATGGGTCGTTCACCAGCTATACCGTAGACAGGAAAGCAAAGACATTTTACCTTCAAGGAGCTGTTAGGGGCAGCCACTCAAGAGCACTCACCACATCAGCTGAGACCTCTTCACCATGTCTGTGTGGGATATAAAGAGAGCAAAGGAACAAAAAGCAGAACACCTAAAACAATATGATTCAGATCAAAGTGGAACAATTATGGCAATAAATAACAATTCATATTTATAGCATTAATAAGTAAAGAGTATCAAACTGGGTACAGATCGGATTTGAATCATTTCCTGCATACAGGAGATATCCTGCAATAAAAATAACACAAAAGGTCAAAATAACAGGTTAGGAAAACTTGTCACATGTGGCTTTTTAAAAAGATGACAATATTAATATTTAATGACATTAATTCATCCGACTTTTGCTTTTCTCACTACGTGCTCAGCAGTGTTCCCTGTACTAAATGCCTTACCATACAAGCTGGAGAGTCTGTCATGACCGGGGGTGAGGAGTAAGTGTGCCTCGTTATTAAGGTGTTTTTATTTTACTGGGTTTTTAAAAAAGATTTTATTTATTTATTTGAAAGAGAGAGAGTGAGCGAGCACAAGCAGGGGGGAGGGGCAGAGAGAGAGGGAGAAACAGGCTCCCCACTGAGCAGGGAGCCCGATGCGGGGCTCGATCCCAGGACCCCGGGATCATGACCTGAGCTGAAGGCAGAGGCTTAACGACTGAACCACCCAGGCGCCCCATTTTACTCGTTTTTATTGTGAAAGGAGCACGTGGTTTCTGTAACAAAGTTCTGGAAGACGGATGAGCGAAAGAACAGGTATGGGTCTTCCCTCCCCTAACCTCAGCCTCACTCCCCCAGGCTAAGCCTCCTTACCACTGGGTGTCCCTCCACCCAGAATTTTCCCCTAGTCTTAGACCACATATATAATCTTTTTAAAAATGGAGATCATGTTTTTCACCTTTTTTTTTTTTTTTAACTTAACAAATCCTGGGTCTCTTTCCAGGTCGGTTCATATAGATCGGGTTCATTCTGTTTTGTGTCCGTAAGCCTTTCTTTTATATTGGTGTGTTATAATGTAAATGGTCCCCCTACATGGATATTTCAGATTGTTTTCATTTCTCTTGACCACTTCAAGGAACTGGTGAAGGTCCTACACATGCCTGAAAATAATCCTAGTAAAAATCTTTAAATCTAGGAGTAAAACATAAACTTTATCATGATGAAGAGTAGTTTTGGTAAACCAGCTGCCAACAGTGAAATACTAGAGCCAGTTTCATAAAATTAAATAATTTAAGAATTCAGGCCAATCCAACAAGGCATGGAACCAAAATAAGAAAAATAAATATTGAAAAAATAAGAAAGCCACCCAACATTAGGTATTCTTGAAGCATTCATTCAATAACTATTATAATTAGCAAAAATGCACTGAAGCACAGAGGAGTGTTAAAAATGAATAACATTTCTATAGAGTAACAAAGCAAGTCAGAAAACACAGCACTGAAAGATACTATTCCTAATAGCGTTAAAACAATTTGAGGCTCCTAGGGTAAAACATTAGTATGAAATGTAAAGAAGCAACAAATTTTTCATTTTTTTCAAAGAAAAATGAAAGCCGGAGGCGCTGGGGAGCCTATGGTGCTGCTGGACAGGAATATAGCAGGTCCTTGGATTTAATCAGGAAGCTATCCTGAGCCCTCCTCAATGACCCATATTTACATATACTACAACAGCAGAAAACTTCCTTTATAAAGTTTAACTAGAAACACAAACAGCTCCTGAGCCCTGCATGGGAGCTCCTGCACCCAGAACTGTAGGACGCCAGAAAGCAGAGGGGGACACCAGAGCCCATCCCCGGCCCAGTCACTGGCCAGAGCTGCTGCAGCCAACAAGACAGGGTTGGTGCCATTATACACAGAAGGAGGCATATGGGTGACGAAAACATGAAGCCCCCAGTGTGCCACAATACCGTTTCTATAAACATGAAGGTACACACGAAATAGCAGGGAGTAGCAGTATGGAAAAAGCTCATCCCTTAATATGAGTTTACCAATAACACATATAGTGATGGTATGTTATAAAAACCCCACGAAAAAGAAAATACATTTGAAAATAACTGGAAGTAAATGAACAAAATTGATAGGTATGTTGTTGTAGTAGTGGGGGCGATCTTTGTCAAATTGTCAAATCTCTAAAATATATATATATATATTTTAAAAGATTTTATTTATTTATTTGACAGAGAGAGACACAGCGAGAGAGAGAGAACACAAGCAGGGGGAGTGGGAGAGGGAGAAGCAGGCTTCCCGCGGAGCAGGCGGAGCAGGGAGCCCGATGTGGGGCTCGATCCCAGGACCCTGGGATCATGACCTGAGCCGAAGGCAGACGCTTAATGCCTGAGCCACCCAGGTGCCCCCCATTGGAAATATATTTAAAGTGATTTTTGAGCAAGAAGAAAAGCTGCAACCTTAGAGTCTTTAAACAGGGGTGAAGGCTTTCCTGCCTGCCTGTGTAGGGAGGAAAATCATTTTCCCTCTACCCTTCTGAGTTCTTAGCCCAAGACCCTGTAATAAAAGACAGATTAACAAGAGAAAAACGAACAGAAGTTTAATAACATGTATACCTTGTGTACATGTGGGAGTGACCCAAGGGACAAATGAGTAATTTCCCAAGGTGGCTTAGAATTCAGTCTTAAATACCAATTTGATAGGAAAAGGGTGAGGAGGGGAGGTAGACCTCTTAGAGGGGAGGAGTAAATGCTTTCTGGGAAAGACAAATGGGCCCTTAGAAGAATAGGCAGGAGGTTTATAGTTTGGAACAAACTATCCCCCATCCGTCCCCCTTCCACTCTTCAGACTCCTCCTCACGGTGCCCATTAATCCCTGTGCAGATCAGAACAGAGCCCTTCACGTTTGCTGCTGGCTGATGAGCCCAACTTGGACTCAAGTTAATTAGGTCACGTCCACTGTGCCTGTGCACGGGCTTGTCCCCCCTCCTTAGGTGAAGGCAGAGAGATGGTTTTCCCTTTCTCAAGGGACTAGTAGCCTTGACCAGCAGGTGAGGCCAACTAGAGGCTTCTGGAAAGCTGGAGTCTTAGCCAAATTCCATCACAAACTGGATTGTCATCTAGGGAGAGTCACCTCGCCCTCGGGGCCAGCATTGTCCTCCGCGATGAGCGGGGGCGGTGCTTGGACTCACTGATGGAGCGAATGTGGCAGATGGCCACTTTCCTTCTGCGCTGGGCCTGCAGAGAGCATCAGGGCCAATGCAGCACTCCTTCTCAGAGCCTACCTGTGTCTTGAAATACTTCAGTGACAGTGGTCTGGACACCCTAAGAACTGTGGCAGGGGTGTGGATGTCTCTTTGCCATCTATGTCCAGATGATCTGGGGGAGCCTTCCACCTCTAACACCCTGAAGCTCTAAGACTTCTGTTAGAGGGGGGCTCAACTCCTAGGTGTACAGAGACGTCCCAAAGAAAACTCTGAGTATGCCTTCATTAAAGAGTGACATGGTGTTGGGGCAGGATGGTGGGAGGTTCCTGCTGCTTCCCTGGGCAGGGGTCAGTTGGCTGGTCTATCTGAGGCTGCTGATGGCCTTACCCAGGGCTCTAAAGTGATTGTCATCAATCCCTTTTTGGAGGCCTTGGGGTTGCTTGGTCTCAGTGTGGTTTTCTCATGAGCCCTGCCTTCTTTTCCAAAGACCTCCTCTCCAGGATTAAACTCATGCCCAGTCTGTTGTGGGTGTTCAAGTAGGACGAAGCTAGGAACAAACCTAAGGGTCAGACAAGTCAGATTCTGAGACGCGCTATAGGTAGCCGGTTCTGGCATCCTGCGCAGTCCACTGGTGTCCACTTGGGAAGCCTCCAATCCTGTAAGACAAATTTCCTCAGAACAGTGATTCTCAAACAGAGCCACAAGAACTGTGGTGTTCCAAATCGATTCCACAGGAAAATGGAATAAGGGTGGTCTTTTCTCCAAAATATAGGGGAAATTTGAGTTAATGGAATTTTCTGAGTTGTACATTTTTTTCCTTCCTTATCACTTCTTCTTAAGACGATGTGCTTCTCCTACTTGCCTGTTCAGAAGCGAACAGATAGAAGCTTCTGTGTGTAAGCACAATCACCCTCTTGTTAGAAATCTACTTTCAGTTGCCAAAATAACACAACGCCGTCAAACCGAATGGCAAACAATGAGCCTTCCTCTATGGGAGAGGTCATATTTGGGGTCTCCTTGGAGGTTCTCCCTCCTTTTTCTTTGGAAGTGTAGGTTATTTTGTTCATTTTCTGAATTAATTCTAAAACATGCACATGATACAAAACTTCAAAGAAGCAGAAGAGCAAAGAGTAAAAAGTAAAATCTCCCTCAAACTGTTTCCCAGCTCTCCGGCTCTTTACTCCAGAAGCAACCACAATTTCCAGGTAGATCCCCTTTAAACAGAAAAAAGAATATCAAGCCATCTCCTCTATAGGTTGTTAGGACTCTCATTTCCCCGGATAGCATTGCTCACAAGCTCTTCTAGATGTATGAATTATACACGTATGTGTGTGTGTGTGTGTGTGTGTGTGTATAAACATATATATATATATATATATATATATAAACGTGGTCACCCCTACGTGACCCTCTAGAGAGGAACCCTTTGTCACGATGCTCCCCTATTGTACCTTCATGCCCAGGGCTCTACTGGGGAGCCCGTCCCAGAGTTGGAAAAATAATCATGTGACCTGGGCTGTCCACAGCAATGAGTCCAACACGCTGTACCATATCCTGATGGAAGAGCTGATCCGACAGAAGGAAGCAACCATGCCAGGAAACCTGTCAGAGGAGGAAAAGATGTTTCTCTTATGTTTTCCCTTGCAGAAGTATAAGCTGGAAAAGAGTATCAGAGAACTTCACGCTATTGCACACCAAGTTGATGCAACCCATAAGATGCTCACCAAGACCAGCCTGGTGGCCAGCTCCTCAGGCAACATCTCTGGACTCATGAGCCTCTTGGGTTTGGCCCTGGCCCCCGTGACAGTAGGGGGCAGTCTGATGCTTTCAGCGGCTGGGCTGGGCCTGGGGCCTCAGGGGCTGCCACCAACATGTTGATGAGTATCTCTTAGAAAGTAGGAGCAACTCGGCAGCCAGAGACAGAGCCAGCAGACTGGTGCCTATGGAAACAACCGTGGTGTATGAAGCTTTTGAAGAAATAAGGTTGCCTGCAATCAGTGCTGCTTTGTCGTGTGTGGATAGAGGTGTCAGAGTCATCAAGAACGTCAAGGATTTTCAGGCTTGCCAGATGGCCACAGCCAACTCTGGCTTCATGGCTAAGGTCAATAATTTCATGGCCACAAACCATGTCCCCTTCTGGAGGGGGGAACAGCTACAGACAGCTGTTGAAGGCTCTGCTCTGTCCATGACCAAAGGTGTCCGGCTACTGGGTGCTGCTGGGGCTGGCTTCCTACTTGTGCAAGACGTGAAAAGCCTGCTGCAGAGCTGGAAGCACCTGGAGGAGGGGGCAAGGGCAGAGACCACCGAGGAACTGAGGACGGTCGCCCTGCAGCTGGAGCAGGAGCTGAGCCAGCTCACCCAGCGCTACAAGCTGACCCTCCGGGGCAGGGCTGGCAGGAGAGCCCGTCCCCGAATCAGGAGGTAGGAAAGGGTACAAGGGGTGCATAAGGCAGATGTGGGCCCGGTCTTCCTGAAGCACCCCACGAGGGGAATGTTAAAGAGGTGGATGCATAAATAGATACAGGATCATAACTGTCCTTTCTGCAGAGAGGATGTTCCCCACACCCCTCCGCCAAATGAGGTCCCTCCTCTTCTTTCCAGAATCCCATCTTTTTCTCTCAAAGCGCTGTCCACACACTTCTGAAATTACAAATTTTGCGTAGGTACCCACCGTCTGTCTTCCTGCACGTTGTACCCCCTGGGAGGGCAGGGGTGTGCCCCCAGCATCCAGCAGTGCCCGGCTCACCTCAGGTGGGCCACTGACGTGTCTTGAATGACATCAGGGCGGCATTCCAGGATACAGGTGACATTTCAAATGAGTTGGGGAAGGATTTTTATTTGAAAAATATATTTCTAGACTTTTTTTTTAAGAGTTTATTTATTTATTTGACAGAGTGAGCGAGCACAAGCAGGGCGAGCGGCAGAGGGAGAGGGGGAAGCCGGCTTCCCGCTGAGCAGGGAGCCCAATGCGGGGCTCGATCCCAGGACCCCGAGATCATGACCTGAGCCGAAGGCAGGCGCCCAACCAACTGAGCCACTCAGGCGCCACTAGACTCTCTTATTTAGGGACATTAAATATCTAGCTATAAAATCTGAAAACCACTACCGGGAAAATAAAGGAGAATTTCAGAACACCTCTTTAATTTTACAGGGAGTATAGAATGGGACTGGGTAGCGTGGCCACTCCCTGGGGTCCCAGAGAGGGACACACTAGACTTTGCTGAGGGTGTGAAGGCTCATAATCATAAATTCATTCATTCATTCATTCATTCATTCATTTGTTCGTTCGTTCGACAGATTTTAATTAACTGAAGCCCGTGACAGGGGCCCAGGACTTAAGGGAGTGTTTCCAAACTTGTCTGCAAGTTGGAATCACCTGGGAAAATTCCACAACTACTGATGAGTGGGTGGGTCCCATGTGTCCCCAGGGACTGGGATTTCCTTGATCGGGGGTATGACCTGGACTTTGGGAGTTTTAAAGGCTCTCCAATAATTCCATTGTTCAGCCGAGGTTGAGAACCACTGCTTTAAGGCATGAGTTGTTCTGACTCTACTGTATCAATATCAACATACTTTTTACTCTTTGGGTACTTTTCCTCGCTTCTTAATAAGCGGGGGCAGATTTGGGGGTAAACTATGAAACACTAGGATTCATAGCCTAAAGGTCTTGCCCTCCTCCCCCCGCCCCTGCCTGTCATGGAGTACAGGCTTAGGCCAGGTCATCTTGAGAAGGGACACAGTCTGTGCTCTGATGGCCCTGGGTACCCAGCAAGGGGACAGACCCCAGATAAGCCACTAACAAGGAAGAGAAGTCAACGGTAGGACACAAAGATAGCAGGGTGCTAGGGGAGACCCTGCCAGGTGCACTTACTCCTGGGGGGAGAGAGGCCGGGGCCTTCCTGGGCTGTGTCTCTGCCAGGCACCTTGCCGAGCCCCGTGCGCACACTGGCTCTGTGCGTTTGCAGCCGGAGGGGCTGTTCATTAAGCTGGTTGATGCACAAATACTCCTTGAGCACCCCTGTGCCCGACAGCGCACCAGACCCGGCTTGCGCACGAGACACACGAGGACCGATGGTAGGAAGTGAGAGCGCTACATCTGCCAGCCCTGGCATGTCTAGACGTCCAGGTGAACCTTCTAGAAGATCCCGATTATGCCACAGAAGTGAGTAAACTACTCCTTTTCCCTTTCTGCCCGACCTGGTCCAGCTGCCTCCAGGGAACTTTGGCTTAGCAGAGGCAAAATACAAGTCTTCAACTAGGAAAACTCAGGGTAGGGATATTTCTGCTTGCAACAATCTAATGATGATGGAAGGAAGGCCTGCAGTGGCCCGTGGTAATTCCTGGGGACTCCAGAAATGCCGGGGTTGGAAGGGAACTCTGTGAAGAGACAGGATTATCTGTGCGTACACATGGAGTTGGAGGCCAAGGAAACCTAAATATTCGTGCTAATTTAAGCTGAGGTTGGGCCACATTTAGAACACCTCTTTTCCAAATTGTATACAACTATACAGTACATTTAGACTCAAAACTTTTTTGGGGCGCCTGGGTGGCTCAGTCGGTTAAGCGACTGCCTTCAGCTCAGGTCACCATCCCAGGGTCCTGGGATCGAGCCCCACATCGGGCTCCCCGCTCGGCGGGAAGCCTGCTTCTCCCTCTCCCGCTCCCCCTGCTTGTGTTCCTGCTCTCACTCTTTCTCTCCCTGTCAAATAAATAAAATCTTTAAAAAAAATAGAATTAAAACTTTTTTTTAAAAAAGATTTATTTTAGAGAGAGTGCATGCACGCAAGCAGGGGAGGGGGCAGAGGGGAAGGGAGAGGGAAAGAATCTCAAGCAGACTCTGCACTGAGCACGGAGCCCGCCATGGGTCTGAATCTCACGACCCTGAGATCATGACCTGGGCTGAAACCAAGAGTCAGAACGCCTAACTGAGCCACCCAGGCGCCCCTAGAATTAAAACTTTTAAAAAACCCCTTTATTTTAAAATTAACTGTGCTTGGGGTGCCTGGCTGGCTCAGTCAGTGCAGCATGCCACTCTTGATCTCGGGGTTGTAAGTTGGAGCCCCACTTTGAGTGTAGAGATGACTGAAAATGAAATCCTAAAAATAAAATACAATAAAATAAAATAAAACTGTGCTCTGCAACTCCCCCACACCCTTCCCACCCTGCCCCCACCCCTTCTCTCATTAGCCAGGACTCGGGGTGTCTTTGGCCTGCAATCTATTGCTCACACCCAGATTCGACCTTCATCCCCAGTGCCCTGCAAGGGCAAGTTAGAGATTTGTGAAAGGCTGTTACTGAAAATTATCCTTTCATGCAGCAGAATTGATAGTTGTGAAAAACTAGACACCATTAACATGGCCCAGTGCTGGGAGACTGGTCCAAGACAACTATTCATCCACTTGAGAGAACATTAGGTACCTATCCCAATGGTGTTCACCAGAGCCAGTCATTGGATTAGCATGGAAAACGTTTCTACCAAGTTAGGTGAGAAAAGCAGGGTGAGAACTGTATGCACACTTTCTCACCTCGGATCTAAGCCAGGGGAGACTCAGCAAGGTCCACGACAGCCGCCTCTATCTGGAGGCGATGTGCTTATGTTTTCCTTCTTTCCACCTGTCTAGAATTGTCGTTTGCTAGGATGTGGACTACTTGTTTTATGAAATGGAAAGTAGATAATAAGTATTGCTATCAAAGTAACAGATTTTTTTTTTTTTTTAAAGGAGACCAACCCATAGTCTGCTGGTCTTAGTTTAGTTTCTTAAATCACTTGAATGAACACAGCCTCCTCCTCCCCACTGAATGAAGCCATTGTGGGAGGAGAAGGAATGTGTTTTCTGGGAAGACTGTTCTCATGATGTTAGCAATGGCTGAAAACCCAGGAAGTCTAAGTCTTTTGGGTTTTTGGACCCAATTCCAATGTGTGTGTGTGTGTGTGTGTATGTGTGTGTAACCACCATGGTAAGGTAGCAAATGCTGGACTGTTCTACCCTAAGAAAACTCTAGGCTAACCTGACTTGATTTGTAAACTTGTTTTGCAGAAGTTGACCAACCACCAGTAAGCCTGGGAGCAAGCCAGGAAGAATTCTTGCAACTGTGCAGAAGGGACCAGGAGGAAATGAAAGTAATCTCTGTGAGGACACACCCTGAGAGGTCCCCCCATTCATCATACTTACATTTTTGAACACGTGTCCATGAAGAGATGCGCTTGCTCAGAAAGGAAGGCACCTGCCTTTCCCTCTATCCAATTAGCCTATTTCATTCAACTTATATGCTGACCCCTTGTCCTTAAACATGCCCAACCCCCAGCCCTTTGGGTGGCAGAGATGAGGTTTGTTTGGCTGCCTCTCGAATAAACTCTTCCCTTGATGCATAATCCATGTCTCAGTGACTGGCTCTGCCGTGCACCGGATAGAGCTTGGGTTTGTTTACATGTGTGTGTGCACCGGGGGAGGCTTCCGCACCCCCACAAGCAATTCTGTGACACCAGCAGCAGTCCAAGAATTCAGTTAGATTCTGACACTATCTACTCGGGAGAGAGAATCACATTCCGCAGGTGAAGGTTTGGTCCCACCAGACCACCCTCCACTTAGAGGACAGTCACGACCCCAGCTTGTTTCCTGTGTGTCCAACTGCCTGGCTGTGCATCAGAGGTTCCCACAACCCCCTCCTTGGATTTGATGAATTTGCTACAGCAGCTCACAGAACTCAAGAAAACCCATTTACTCACAAGATTACCGATTTATTACACAGGAAATTAAAGAATATGAATTGACAGCCAGATGAAGAGATGTATAGGGCAAGGACATGAACAAAGGAGCTTCTGTTCTTGCTGAAGTCTGGGGCCCAGCACGGTAGACTGTGGAAGTGTTCTGGCTCCCTGACCTGGAAGCTCTCCGAAACTCCTCCCTTTTGGGGTTTTATGGAGGCTTCATTACAGAGGCACAATTGATGAACTCCTTGGCCATTGGTTGATTCAACCTTCAGCCTCTCTCCCCTCCCAGGAAATCAGGGGGTGAGACTGAAAGTTCCAACCCTCTGTTCATGGTTGGTTCCCCTGGAAACCAGCCCGCATCCTTAGGTGTTTCCCAAAGTCACCTCATAAACGTAACCCCAGCTGTGGTGGACTCACCACCACGTGCTGTGAATAACAAGACACTCATTTCACCTCAGAGGCTCTGAAGTGTTTTCAGGAACTGAGGACAAGAGACCAAATATTATAACACAAGGTGTACCCATTGCTCTTATCACTCAGGAAATTCCAAGGGTTTTGGGAGCTGTGAGCCAGGAACTGTGGATGAAGACCAAATATATATGAAAACTATATTTTGGTCACCCGAATGAATGACCAAATATATATATTTCTTATAAATCACAGTATTTGCTCCTATGTAGCCTCCAACCTGTTCATCCATCCCTCTCACCTATCCATCTGTCCATCACCCATCCATCTACCCATCCACCCATCCATCCATCTACCCATCCATCTATCCATCCATGCACCCTGGATCTGCCCATCCACCCACCCACGCCCCCATCCATTCATCCATCCTATCCATCCATCCATTCATCTATCTCACCTGTCCATCTGTCCATTTGTCCATCCATCCATCCATCCACCCATCCACCACGTACCCATCCACCCATCCAGACACTTACTGAATACCTACCACGTGAAAGGCATTTTTCTAGGTAGTTGGGATAGAGCAGTAAACAAAACACATCTCTACCGTCATGGAATCTATTGTCTCGTGGTGGTGGTGGCAAACAAGAAACACAATAAAGAAGTAAATTATACAGTATAATATAAAGTAGTGGATGTGAGGGAGAAAAATAAATCTGGGAAGGAGGATACAGAGAGTAGGGTGGGGCAAGAAAGCAGTTTTAAATAAGACCATCAGCGAAAACCTTTGAGGAGTTTTTATCTAAGTAAAGACATGAAGGTGGTGAGGGAGCCAGCCAAGAAGATATCTGGGAGAAGAGCATTCCAGACAGAGGGACAGCAAAGGTGACACAGGTGGCAGGTTTGGGGAGCTGCAAGGGGGCTGTGTGCCAGAAGCGGAGTAATGGCTTGGGGAACACAAAGGGAGGGTAGGACATGAGGTCAGAAAGGCAACTGGAAGCCACAAGGTACAGTGTCTTATAGGCTATGGTAAGATTTTGGCTTTTACTGAGTGAGATGGGAAAACATCGGAAGGTTTCAAGCGGCGGGGTGGGGTGGTGACATAATCTATCTTAGATTTTAACAGCATCACCCTGGCTGTTGTGTGGGGAAGAGACCATAGGGGCAAGGCTATCACAGGGATGCCAGTTAGCAAGTTACTGAGCCAATCCTTGGGAGAGCGGATAGTGGCTTGGAGCAATGTGGTCGCTGTAGAGGTGGTGAGAAGTGTCGGATCCTGGACGTATTCTGAAGGTAGAGCCCGTAGGATTTGCTCACGGACTGGATGTGTGGTGTGAGAGAAAAAGAAGAGCCAGGATGAGAGGCCAAGGTTTTAGCCTGAACAACTGGTCATTGCCCAAAATAGGTTTTGTGGGGGCGGGAGTGTAGGGCAAGATCAAGTTGCTCAGTTTGGACATGAGAAGTTCGAGATACCCAACAGACAAGCAAGTGGAGATGGTGGGTAGATGGTGAGGTATGTAAATCTAGATTCAGGATATTGGGTCTCCAACAACAAATTGGTCAGAGATACAAATTTGTAAATAGATGATATTTAAAATCATAAGAGTGGATAAGGTTATCAAAGACTAGAGTGTAGGTACAAAAGAGTAAATGTACAAGATCAGTGCCTTGGGGGCCCCTGGCTTGACGAGGATGGGGAGAAGTAGAGGGACCATCAAAGGAGACAGAGAAGGAGCAGCCACAAAAGTCGGAGGGAAGCCAGGAGTGGGGTGTCCAGGGAGCCAAGTGGAGAAAGCCTCAAGGACAAAGAGCCCTGATCTGATTTAGCAACATGGAAGCCACTGGTGGCCTTGACAAGAACAGTTATGGGGGAGTGGTAGAAGACCAAAGCTTGACTGGAGAGGGTTTAAGAGAAGGAAGAAGGAAACTGGAGACGAAGTATAGACAAAGTTTTTGAGTGCAACCAACAAGATACCATCTCATTGACTACTTTGGCAAAAGTTAAAAGAAGAAAGCACCCCTGGGGCACCTGGGTGGTGCAGTCGGTTAAGCGTCTGACTCTTGGTTTTGGCTCAGGTCATGATCTCAGGGTTGTGAGGTCTGTGCTCAGCATGGAGTCTGCTTAGGATTCTCTCTCCCTCTCCCTCTCCCTCTGCCCCCCCTCCCCTCTAAAAAGAAATAAATAAATACAACTTAAAAAACAAAAAGAAATATTAACATGGTTCTGTGAAGGTGGGGATGACCCAATAATGAAGAGATGGTGGTGCCAATGCCCAGTGTCTGTCCCTTGCTCTTTCAGCTCCTGGTGCCCATGTTGGACTGCAAGCTGGACTGGAACCCTATTTCTAGACTCTTCATATTGGCTTGGACCTCTGGGTCAACTCCATCCTGTTTCCCCCACACCTCTTGCAACATGGTTGTTCGAAATACAGGGCAACTCAGCAATACGACTGGATATATGACATTCTATAGGTAAGTTCTCATTTTTCACACATATATAAAGAGAGCACAGTCCTGGGGAATCTTTGGTGCTCTTTCCATCAGCAATGAGGCCAATTCCAACCTTCTCAACCTGAGGAATCCTTGTGCACATCCAGAAACTCCTTGAATCCTGTCCCTCTCCCCCTCAGGAAAGAAAAGAGGAGGGCGCCTGGGTGGCTCAGTGGGTTAAGCGTCTGCCTTCTGCTCAGGTCATGATCCCGGGGTCCTGGGATCGAGTCCCGCATCAGGCTCCCTGCTCCTTGGGAGCCTGCTTCTCCCTCTGCCTCTCTCTCTCTCTCTCTCTCTCTCTGTCCTTCATGAATAAATAAAAATAAAATCTTAAAAAAAAGAGGAAAGAAATACTGATGGTTCACTCTGCAGTAGGAACTCTGCTAAATGCTTTACCAAAGTTATTAAGTCATAGCCCATAGTTACTGACTACTTAGCACTTTCTAGACACTGTGCTAAGTACTCTATAAATATTGTCCTATTTCATCCTTATGACCAACTACTACAGTGGTACATCTATCATCTTCCAATGTATAGCTGAGGGATCTAATGCAGAGACATTAAATTTTTCGAGGTCGACCAGTTGGCAGGTGGCAGCTCAGGGCTGAGCTCAGAAGCCTCTGGACTCTTGACTCCTCGCTCACAACCACTACCCTACGCTGCTTTGGTTAGGCGTCCCAGTTAGGAAATGGGTGAATTTCTCAAGGTCACACCATTAAGGAGCAGTAGGGCTGGAGTTTGTACATGTATGTGTTTGTAGGCCAGAGGTAGACGTTTTAAATTTGTCTATGTGAGCCAATTCTGACATGGCTCACTTTTAAACATTATGGGGAGATTTAGTATTTTTTACCCTTGCACACACATACCAAAATTAGCATCTACATTCAGCCTGTGCTTGGTGGGAGATTTTTCACAAGCACTGATCTAAACTCTTCCAGAGATTTCTGGAGTCTTGTGATCTGTCCAAGGCAAGAGTCAGCAAATTACAGCCCACGGGCCCAATCTGGCCCACCACCTGTTTTTGTAAATGATGTTTTACTGGAACACAGCCACGCCCATTTGTTTGTGCACAGCCTCTGGTGGCTTTTCCGCTATAATGGCCGGACGTGAGAAGCTGTGACAGACCAGGTGGTCTGCAAAGCCTAAAATACAGATTATCTGGCACTTTAGAGAAAGTTTGCTGAGCCCTGGTCTAAATGTTTCAAGAGAAGCAACTTTTGAGTATCTGGAATTCTGGCTTTTGAAAGGGGACATCACCACCCGTGAACCGGGAAGTCAATTTCAGAACCCGGAAGGAACCAAGGGTGTGATGGCGAAGCCCCAGTGATCCTGAGAGCACTTTTCACACCTGTCCCCCAGTCGGCTGCAAGTTCGAGGGCCAGCCTGGAGGGTGGCTTTACTCTTGGCCTACAGGGAGGCCTGGGGACAGCTGGGCCTGGAGCTGGGCAGCCTCCCCTCCTGCCTGCCCCAGCTCACCACCCTATGTGTTCGTCGGCCTCCTTCTCCGGTAGACCCCACGCAGCCCAGGGCCAAGGATGGTGGGGGTAAAGGCCACGCCAGAGGGCCAAAGGCAAGAGGAAGGGCCGGCCAGGAGCAAAGCAGTGAGCAGAGTGCCTGGTGCAGAGGGAACCGTCAAGGAGTGTTTCCTCCTCCCTTTCTGCGGGGACAGGGCGGGTGCGCGTGGAGGAAGAGACAGGGATGATCTTCAGCTCTCTTGCAGCTTGGGTTCCTCATTATTGATTCGAAGCCTGGCAAGATGATGGTCTGAGGCCAGAATGGTAGGGCGCCCTCGAGGCCTGGCTGCGGAGTTTAGGATTTTGCTCACCGAAAACAGAAGGATTCCGTGGAGATGGAGCAGGAGAGAATCTGAGGACCCATGTGTTCGGGAAGAGCGATCAGCCGAGGTGCATGGAGCCACGGCCCCTCGCATACAGCCGCTCACTGACTGAGACTGACTGGCCGCCTCCTTCCTGTGTTTCCAGAAAAATTCATAGACGTTATTTTTTTTGGAGGAGTCTGGAGCAAAGCTGAGTGAAAGTACAGGGTTCCCACCTGCCTGCTCTGCCAACCCACACAAGCGCGCCGTGTTTGTGCCCATGGGCCAGGCAGCACTGAGACGTCAATGGCGGCCTTTCCATGTGAGCTCCCTGGGGAGACCTCTGGAAGTCTCCCGCCTTTGAGGGGCTGGCAGGAGGACCCCACATCACCTAGTGCACAGGATCCAGCCAGGGCGCAGGCCAGCATCACCTTCCGCCTCACAGAATCCAGAGGCCCAGGCCTCTCCTGGGGCCGGCTGGGACAGAAGCCTACGGCTGTAAATGGGGGTTCTGGTTTGCGGATCTGGTTGGGAACCCCCAGGGCCTGGCCTAGAACCGGATCAGGGAGTTTCCAAAACTGACGTCATTCTCCTGACAAGCCCCTGGGTGGTGCCGGGTTTTGATAGCACTTGGTCAAAATGTTGGCACGATTGTCCTCCTGAGGCTTCTTTATGGGGCTCCGTGGGTGCAAAGGCCTATTACTGACCGAGGAGGAGAAGGAACTTTGCTCCAGGGGCAAGATGGAACACTTGGGTGGGCGTGAATGACCAGACTGTCCTCCGCCCTGGGACCGAGCATTTGCCAAGGCCAGGTTTTCACCTGGAGAGAAGTTCTGCTGTCAACACGTGGAATCAGTGCTTCAGCCTCTGGAGGGACGCCTCGGGCTACCCAGTCTATTGGAACATTCTATATCTACATGGGGGCGCTGTGGGACGACAGGCGGAGACTTGACCAAGAGCCCACAGCTGGCTACGGCCAAGAGAAACAGGAGCCTGGGTGGTTCTCCTTGCACTTGAGTCTGCTTTTCAAACCAAAAACCATGACCTTGGAGGCTGAGGGTACAATGAAGAAACAGGAGCCTGGGGGCTGGGAGCCAGCTTTCTGACCCTCGTCTTCAAGTCACCTTGTGTTTTACATAAAATCTTTGGGGAGTCCGTGTGTGATCCCCAGAAGCAGACCCTGTGCCTGTGCCTGTCGCATTCTTGGCTGTGTTCCAGACCCTGCCTTTTTGTGGCGCCCTCTATACAGTTCATAGGACGGGAGCAGGTGCCTAGCGAGGCGGGGGATTAATCTGCTGCCCTGCCCCCCGGAAGCTTGGTCTGGTGGGAGAAAAGACACGTGCACAGTTCCCTCACAGAAAATTCGGCTTCTCCAGGTCTCGCTTCCAAATGGCGCCAGTACATGGCTGCAGGGCACCCACGTCTGCGGGATTAAGGGATGCCACACACCTGGGCTGAGCCTGGAGCAAAGAAAAGCTTCACAGTTAAAGTCTGTGGAGCAGAAAGAATGATGGGAGTGGGGGGGGGTGTCAAACCAACAAAATAAAACTTGTAAAGAGCACGCTACGTGCTAATGGCGAGCTGTCTCGGGGATGCTGTCGGTCCGGTCCCCGGTGAGCGCGTACTCAGCCAGACGCAGAGCTCAGAAGGCAGGCGCCCCGCCCGAGGAGCCCAGGGATGGGTGGGTTCCCGGGAGCCAAGAGGGAAGGTCAAGAGGTGACGTTTGAGCTGAGCTTTGAAAGTCGAGGACAAGTTCATTTGCAGGGGGGAGAGGGGCCAAGGCAATGAGAGAGGGAGGCCTTGAGTGCCGTGTTAAGGAATTTGGAGTTCAGATTCTGGAACATGGTAATTTCTCAAGGATTTTGAGTCAAGGGATGATAGGGTCACATTTATTTCAGAAGGAGAATCCAGGCCAAAGTGTGGAGGACTAGCTGGCTAGAAGAGGAAGGTGCTGGAGGCAGGGGTCAGGCCACCGTGCGTTCATGACGCGTGCCAGGGCCCTGGCCTACAGCGGTACGTGAGGCTGCCTGCCCCCTTCTCTCCCAGAGCTTACCTTCTAACAACCGGAATCCAGTGGAAGGAATGAGAAGCAAGAAACGAGCTGACCTGAGATAATCTCAGGGTGGTTGAGTGCTAGGAAGGTGGTCAAATAGGGTGCTGGGGCAGAGGGGCTCCCTTATGCTGGGTGGCGAGAGGTCTCACAGAGAGGCAGGGTTTCATCGGAGGCTGCAGGGAGGAGAGCTGGGGCCAGGGTTTCAGAGCAGAGGGCGCAGCTCGGCCGAGGGTCTAAGGTGGGAATGAGCTGGGCTGGGGGGCAGGAGGCCGGGGGGCAGGAGGCTGGCCAGGCTGGGGGGCAGGAGGCCGGGGGGCAGGAGGCCGGCCAGGGTGGCTCCACGGGCGAAGGTGGGAGCGCGCAGGAGGCAGAGGTCAGTGCTGGACCTTAGGCGCTGGTGGGGATGCCAGGCGCCCAGGGGGTTTGCGGCGGGTCCCAGGATGAGGAGCTGGTGCTGCCAGAGGCAGGTGCGCAGGGAGAATGGGCAATGGGGCAGTGAAAGCAGACGACGAATGGGCCCGTGCCCGAGACGGAGGTGGGGGGCCACCCCTCCCTTTGGCGAGATTCCTCACTCGTTTCTCTTTTGGGTTTTCACGCGATGTGTTCAACTTCCCGCCCGAGGGAACAGAGGCTTTGGGAGGACAGGGCGATCTCAAGCCTGGTGAATGTGAGGGGCTGGGGGACTGCAGCGGGGCTGAGTCCAGACTTCAGGGCGGGAGAGTCAGGGTGCGGGGCCGAGTACCCCGCCGGGAGCGGAAACTGACAGCGAGTTTTCGGGAATGGAGGAGCCTGGGCCCCGGAGATTTGCGGGCTAGGTGGATGGTGGGGGAAGAGGACCCCACAGAAGGCGCGCGGACAGCCACGGGCGGGATGCAGCGGGCTCTGGGACTTCTGACCAGAGAAGCGCCAGAAACACTAGAGCCCAGAGGTCAAAGGGCGCGGACTCAGAGCTGGACTGGCTGCCGGTGGACCCTGGGTCCGCCACTTCCTACTCGGGGGACTTAGGGCCAAAGTGATGACAGCCCCCTGCGATGCAGCTTCCTCAGCTCCTCAGCTTAAATGGGGAGTGACCACATAGATCCGGCGTGGGGTTTGAAGCTAGGGTGGCCTGATTCGGGTTTCCTGCGTCCTGGCAGAAACACCAGACTGGGTCAGAGACGAAGGGCTTTCGTGCTGGGGACAGAGGGGGCAGCATGAGCATCAGTGTCCCCAAGTCCCATGGGCGTGGAGGGAGAGGTGACAGGAGCCCGGATGGAGGCTGTAGGTCTGCGCTGCCGCTGACGGATGCCGAGGGTCCCCCTCTTTCCTAGCTTGCTTTCGCCCTGGAGGCCCCCTCATTCCTCACGGTTACTCGCTGCAAACGCGCCCCGATTGATGGGCTGGGAGAGCAGTCAGGACGCTGCTCCTGTGACATGCTCAGCAAGAAGGGGGGGCGCACGGGAGGACCCCTGGGAGGAGCGCTGCCAGGAAGACAGAAAATAATGTGGACGGCTCTCGATCGTGCTCTGCAAGTGTGGCTGTGACCCCGGGCTGACAACATACAGGAAGGCAGGGTGGAAACGGAGTCTCGCTTCATGCAGAACATTGAGAAAAGGAACTTAACAGGCATCTGCAGAGCGCTCACACGTGCGGGGCACTGGCCGCAGCACGGGGAACTCAGCCGTTTGGAGACCCAGGTGCCCAGGCCGGGCTGGGGTGCGGGCGGCCGTCTGTCCGGAAGTGCGCCCCGCACCGTGTTAGAGGCTGGGTGCGGCCTGGCCAAAGATGGAAACCGCGAGAGCAGCTCAGCACAGGAGGCGGACATGCTGGCTGGCCCGGGGGGCAGCAGAGGAGACCTCGCTCCCCTTGGCCTTGCCAATGGAAGGGTCGAGAACAGCTGGCAGTGCTGAATGTGACCCAGTCAGGTAAGGGCCCGGGAGGGGCATCCATCCACCTGCTGTCACCAGAAGGGGCTGCCTCAGGGTCCTAGAGGGAGGAGCCACCAGACTGCAGCACGGGGGAGAGCAAGTCCTTGGAGTCAGCGGGCAGAAACCTATTCCAGAAGTTTGTCGTGTAGGAGAGGACCTGGGATCTTGTGGAATTATTTTTTTTTAAATATGTTAAAGGTGTGTAAGCATGTTTAAATGCCGGAGGGACTAACTCGTAGCAAGCGAAAGGTTGACCTTGCAGGAAGGCACAACAAAGCAAGGTCCTCGAAGGATGGGGTGCGAGCACAGGGTGAAGACTATCTCTTGAGTAGAACAGGAGAGAGGGGGAAAGAAAAGGCATGAACTCAGGTATGTCTAGAACCAGTAGCAAAGCATTCTTCCAGGGAGCCCGTGTGCAGTGATGGCCTCCAGTTCCATGAAATGGAAAGCTAGATGACCTGAGAGCCAAGCGAAGGGCACTGGAGACTTCTGGAACTTGGGGGGGGGGTGGGGAGGGTGGTTACTGGCAGGGACACCAGTGCAGGGGGTAGGTTAGAAGGCCTGCACAGAAGGGCCAGCAGGACCCCAGAGTTAGGAGCACAAAGCCTGGGCGGCCAGGAGCCGGGGGAAACAGTGACCGGGCAGCAAGGCAGGAAGGTCAAGCGGCTGGACGGGGAGGGCGGCGGCTCGGAGTCCAGGAGAGCACGGAGGCTGGAAGGAGGTCAGCAGCAGAGGTACAAAAACCAGCTTCTGCCAAGCCTGGAGGAATCCGGGGAGAGGCTCTCCCACGGCGCCAGCCTTTGGCCTCATTTACCCCACGGCTCAGCGCGACCTTGAGTGCCCTCCACTTAGCAAGTGTTGCGCTTTGCCTCCTCCTTCCTCCATCTTTAGAAGTCAAATCCAAGGTGTAGGTTTTGAGCCTCAGG